GCGAGAGGTGTGGGCGGTCACTTCACACTTTCCCCTTACGTGTGTGCTTGATACAACACAGTACATCACGTGTCAGTGGCGAGAGGTGTGGGCGGTCACTACACACTTTCCCCTAACGTGTGTGCTTGATACAACACAGTACATCACGTGTCAGTGGCGAGAGGTGTGTGCCTCATACAACACAGTACATCACGTGTCAGTGGCGAGAGGTGTGGGCGGTCACTACACACTTTCCCCTAACGTGTGTGCTTGATACAACACAGTACATCACGTGTCAGTGACGAGAGTTGTTGGCGGTCACTCCACACTTTCCCCTAACGTGTGTGCTTCATACAACACAGTTCATCACGTGTCCGTGGCGAGAGGTGTGGGCGGTCACTCCACACTTTCCCCTAACGTGTGTGCTTCATACAACACAGTACATCACGTATCAGTGGCGAGAGGTGTGTTCTTCATACAACACAGTACATCACGTGTCTGTGGCGAGAGGTGTGGGCGGTCACTACACACTTTCCCCTAACGTGTGTGCTTCATACAACACAGTACATCACGTATCAGTGGCGAGAGGTGTGTTCTTCATACAACACAGTACATCACGTGTCTGTGGCGAGAGGTGTGGGCGGTCACTACACACTTTCCCCTAACGTGTGTGCTTCATACAACACAGTACATCACGTGTCCGTGGCAAGAGGTGTGGGCGGTCACTACACACTTTCCCCTAACGTGTGTGCTTCATACAACACAGTACATCACGTGTCCGTGGCAAGAGTTGTTGGCGGTCACTCCACACTTTCCCCTAACGTGTGTGCTTCATACAACACAGTACATCACGTGTCCGTGGCGAGAGGTGTGGGCGGTCACTACACACTTTCCCCTAACGTGTGTGCTTGATACAACACAGTACATCACGTGTCAGTTGCGAGAGGTGTGTGCTTGATACAACACAGTACATCACGTGTCCGTGGCGAGAGGTGTGGGCGGTCACTTCACACTTTCCCCTAACGTGTGTGCTTGATACAACACAGTACATCACGTGTCAGTGGCGAGAGGTGTGGGCGGTCACTACACACTTTCCCGTAACGTGTGTGCTTCATACAACACAGTACATCACGTGTCAGTGGCGAGAGTTGCGGGCGGTCACTCCACACTTTCCCCTAACGTGTGTGCTTCATACAACACAGTACATCACGTGTCCGTGGCGAGAGGTGTGGGCGGTCACTCCACACTTTCCCCTAACGTGTGTGCTTCATACAACACAGTACATCACGTATCAGTGGCGAGAGGTGTGTTCTTCATACAACACAGTACATCACGTGTCTGTGGCGAGAGGTGTGGGCGGTCACTACACACTTTCCCCTAACGTGTGTGCTTGATACAACACAGTACATCACGTATCAGTGGCGAGAGGTGTGTGCTTGATACAACACAGTACATCACGTGTCCGTGGCGAGAGGTGTGGGCGGTCACTTCACACTTTCCCCTAACGTGTGTGCTTGATACAACACAGTACATCACGTGTCCATGGCGAGAGGTGTGGGCGGTCATTTCACACTTTCCCCTAACGTGTGTGCTTCATACAACACAGTACATCACGTGTCAGTGGCGAGAGGTGTGTGCTTGATACAACACAGTACATCACGTGTCCGTGGCGAGAGGTGTGGGCGGTCACTTCACACTTTCCCCTAACGTGTGTGCTTGATACAACACAGTACATCACGTGTCAGTGGCGAGAGGTGTGGGCGGTCACTACACACTTTCCCCTAACGTGTGTGCTTGATACAACACAGTACATCACGTGTCAGTGGCGAGAGGTGTGTGCTTCATACAACACAGTACATCACGTGTCTGTGGCGAGAGGTGTGGGCGGTCACTACACACTTTCCCCTAACGTGTGTGCTTGATACAACACAGTACATCACGTGTCAGTGGCGAGAGGCGTGTGCTTCATACAACACAGTACATCACGTGTCTGTGGCGAGAGGTGTGGGCGGTCACTACACACTTTCCCCTAACGTGTGTGCTTGATACAACACAGTACATCACGTGTCAGTGGCGAGAGGTGTGTGCTTGATACAACACAGTACATCACTTGTCCGTGGCGAGAGGTGTGGGCGGTCACTTCACACTTTCCCCTAACGTGTGTGCTTGATACAACACAGTACATCACGTGTCAGTGGCGAGAGGTGTGGGCGGTCACTACACACTTTCCCCTAACGTGTGTGCTTGATACAACACAGTACATCACGTGTCAGTGGCGAGAGGTGTGTGCTTCATACAACACAGTACATCACGTGTCAGTGGCGAGAGGTGTGGGCGGTCACTACACACTTTCCCCTAACGTGTGTGCTTGATACAACACAGTACATCACGTGTCAGTGACGAGAGTTGTTGGCGGTCACTCCACACTTTCCCCTAACGTGTGTGCTTCATACAACACAGTACATCACGTGTCCGTGGCGAGAGGTGTGGGCGGTCACTCCACACTTTCCCCTAACGTGTGTGCTTCATACAACACAGTACATCACGTATCAGTGGCGAGAGGTGTGTTCTTCATACAACACAGTACATCACGTGTCTGTGGCGAGAGGTGTGGGCGGTCACTACACACTTTCCCCTAACGTGTGTGCTTGATACAACACAGTACATCACGTGTCAGTGGCGAGAGGTGTGTGCTTGATACAACACAGTACATCACGTGTCCGTGGCGAGAGGTGTGGGCGGTCACTTCACACTTTCCCCTAACGTGTGTGCTTGATACAACACAGTACATCACGTGTCCATGGCGAGAGGTGTGGGCGGTCATTTCACACTTTCCCCTAACGTGTGTGCTTCATACAACACAGTACATCACGTGTCAGTGGCGAGAGGTGTGGGCGGTCACTACACACTTTCCCGTAACGTGTGTGCTTCATACAACACAGTACATCACGTGTCAGTGGCGAGAGTTGTGGGCGGTCACTCCACACTTTCCCCTAACGTGTGTGCTTCATACAACACAGTCCATCACGTGTCCGTGGCGAGAGGTGTGGGCGGTCACTCCACACTTTCCCCTAACGTGTGTGCTTCATACAACACAGTACATCACGTATCAGTGGCGAGAGGTGTGTTCTTCATACAACACAGTACATCACGTGTCTGTGGCGAGAGGTGTGGGCGGTCACTACACACTTTCCCCTAACGTGTGTGCTTGATACAACACAGTACATCACGTATCAGTGGCGAGAGGTGTGTGCTTGATACAACACAGTACGTCACGTGTCCGTGGCGAGAGGTGTGGGCGGTCACTTCACACTTTCCCCTAACGTGTGTGCTTGATACAACACAGTACATCACATGTCCATGGCGAGAGGTGTGGGCGGTCATTTCACACTTTCCCCTAACGTGTGTGCTTCATACAACACAGTACATCACGTGTCAGTGGCGAGAGGTGTGGGCGGTCACTACACACTTTCCCCTAACGTGTGTGCTTGATACAACACAGTACATCACGTGTCAGTGGCGAGAGTTGTGGGCGGTCACTCCACACTTTCCCCTAACGTGTGTGCTTCATACAACACAGTACATCACGTGTCCGTGGCGAGAGGTGTGGGCGGTCACTCCACACTTTCCCCTAACGTGTGTGCTTCATACAACACAGTACATCACGTATCAGTGGCGAGAGGTGTGTTCTTCATACAACACAGTACATCACGTGTCTGTGGCGAGAGGTGTGGGCGGTCACTACACACTTTCCCCTAACGTGTGTGCTTGATACAACACAGTACATCACGTGTCAGTGGCGAGAGGTGTGTGCTTGATACAACACAGTACATCACGTGTCCGTGGCGTGAGGTGTGGGCGGTCACTTCACACTTTCCCCTAACGTGTGTGCTTGATACAACACAGTACATCACGTGTCCATGGCGAGAGGTGTGGGCGGTCATTTCACACTTTCCCCTAACGTGTGTGCTTCATACAACACAGTACATCACGTGTCAGTGGCGAGAGGTGTGGGCGGTCACTACACACTTTCCCCTAACGTGTGTGCTTGATACAACACTGTACATCACGTGTCAGTGGCGAGAGGTGTGTGCTTGATACAACACAGTACATCACGTGTCAGTGGCGAGAGTTGTGTGCTTGATACAACACAGTCCATCACGTGTCAGTGGCGAGAGATGTTTCAGGGGGACCTGTGTTCTTGGTTCTTGTCATGCAAAGAGGCAGCACTCGCACCTCTCATGTGGAAAACTTTGAGCCCAATTTCCAAATGAAATAATGACACTGATGTAAGTTTCACACAGTCACGTCAGACATCAGAATTTTTTATAATTATAATTTTATTTTCTGATTGTGAATTTGGCTCCAGTCAGACGAGTCTGGAAAGAAAACTTTAACGATGGTTGAATCTGAAAATGAAAGAATATAATGTGTGTGGCCTAATCTGTAATCCTCAACCACATTCATGATATCTGACACCCATGAAGTATCTGCACAAGTCATGAAGTCGCGATTGTTGCCCCAGTTTGTCAGCATCAGACTCACCATATTCAGTGTTTCTGTTTACTGGTCTTTGAACAGTTAGTAAAATGTAACTTTGACCAGGAATTCAGATGCTGTCTGTCCCCATGACTGGCATTAGCTCTGTTAAAATGAATATGATTACAATTAACTTTAAAGTTCTCATGACATTGTGTTATCAAATTAAAACAGTGTTAAAAAACTGTGGCTCAATTTTCACGATGTTTGTTGCCTTTCATTACAAACGCAACAGGTACTTCCAATATCTAATTATGACTTAATTAGTCCTCCTCCACTGAATACAATGTAAAGTTGACATTGGCTTATATATGCTTGTGTTGTTTCCATTGTAGGACCACCTGCTTTGATAGTATATTGCACATGCATGTATAGTGATGTATATATATTGTGTTGAAATCAGGACTAGTGATAGCTGCTTGGATGTTTCAACACTCTATCTGTATGGCCGGCATGTAATAACATTGCTGCTGTTGTTGCAGAGTCGGAGTGGAAGCTGTTGTTGATCCGACAGCGCACCCTGGTGGGAACTCTGGCCAAGGAGCACAGCATCTACAAGATCAACAAGATCGCTGTCTTGTCTCTGTCCAACACCGACCCCACTGACCTTGACCTGGAAGTAAGATGTGCCCTGGAAATCCACATTCACTAAATTATGAGTCATTAAATTGATATATTTGCAATTAGATTAAATTTATCACAAACTCAGCAGTTGTGTTAAGTGGTGACATTCTTTTCACTTGAGCATGTTGATTAAATGAACAAAATTTCCAAGGTGGCCATGTTTTGTTTCTTGTGTATGAATGCAGACTATTGGGGTTTTCTAAATGTTTTGTTTCTTTGCTTCTTTGAGTGGACGAGAGTCATGTTTCACCTAAATGCTGTAGGCTAGATCAACTTTGTTCTTGCTCCATGGGGGGCGGTTGGGTAGCCTAGTGGTTAAAGCGTTCGCTCGTCACGCCAAAGACCCGGGTTCGAATCCCGACATGGGTACAATGTGTGAAGCCCATTTCTGGTGTCCCCCGCCATGATATTGCTGGAATATTGCTAAAAACGGCGTAAAACCAAACTCACTCACTCACTCTTGCTCCATGGATTTCCAGGGAGAATGTCAACATGCACCGAGCAAAGAAACAAGAGAGACAAAAATAATTGACAAGAAGTCTACATGCAATTGGTGCAATCGGTTGTCCCTGCTCATTCATTGATTAGGATATTCAGTGTATTGAATAAAGATATTATGCATTATTTAATAGTTTTTTTATGCCTTGGGAGAATGTTGGTGGGGAGGTAACTCTGGTCAGTTAAGGGATTCAGCTATCCAGAAACTCATTTAAGAAACTTCAATTGTCTGGATAAGCGAGTGTTGACTGTATATGAAATTGATTTACGGTATCGAAACGTTAATGACTTAACAATTCAAGATGTCACTCGAATATTAGGCACTCGAAAATAAATATGTGTGACAGCTATTACTATAAAGGTCATTGTTACAGCTCTGTAAGAAACATCATTTTGGAATCAAGAAGCCAGAGCGGATCACGCAGGCTGGGGACGACCAGACACTCTCACTACAGAAAACATGGAACACCATCAAGTCAGCTGCAGAAAATGTCAAAATAAAAAAGGTAATAACTCATGTTATTGCACCTAGAGTAATGGTTACTGAAATACAACTGATTAATATGTGAAAATATTAACATGGTTATATTTTACTGAAATTTGATTGGTTAATTTGCTAAAAAGATACTGAAATTTGATTGGTTGATTTGTTTAAAGCATACTGAAATTTGATTGATTAATTTACTTAAAGCATACTGAAGTTTTTTTGGTTAATTTGCTTTGAGAATACTGAAACTTGATTGATTAATTTGCTTTAAAAATATGAGTGTGAACTTCTGTTATCATCCAAAATCATTCCTTCAACTTTTTTCAATTTGTAGAGTAAAAATCAGTGTTTTGAGTGTAAAGAGTGTAGCCATTAACCAGCTTCAGTGGTGGAGAGATTAGTGATGTCATTTGATTGTGATCTCAAAGCATTGTGATGCAGTTTCTTTGTAGCCATATCTCCTATGACAAAGGGAAAGAGTGTATGCGTGTAGTAATTGTTACTGCTGCTTATTGACACACATGGTGGATGTCTTGGCTCCGGTATTTGGGCTCACTTGTGGGAAATCGCTCACCCCCAAACTGTTGATAAATGAATCAGATAGACACCATGGTTAATGTATTTGGGCCCAGTCTTTCTTCAGTGAATGCGCAGGACCAGCTTCAATAATACTGGTTTAGGTTTGAGATGCACTGTTACGTAAGTCCAGGCTTGAGTGTCACAATTGTGAAACGTTCAGATCACTGTATTGAACTGGTTCCTATATAGGCATCAGCAAGCACCTCAAGGACTCTTTACCAAACCATTGACAGCTAAGGTGACTATGCATGTCGTAAAAGGCGACTAACGGGATCGGGTGGTCAGGCTCGCTGACTTGGTTGATGCATGTCATCGATCCCAATTGCATGGGTCGATGCTCATGATATTAATCACTAGATTGTCTGGTCCAGACTCGATTATTTACAGACCACCGTCATATGGCTGGAATATTGCTGAGTGGGGCATAAACAACAAACAAACCAACCAATCCAAGAGGTTCCCCAATAACTGTGGTACAATAAACACAGGGAACTTTTATGCAAAACAATTTCTTATTGTAACAATGTTTCACTTCTTGCATCCCCGCTGCTAGACACTGCCAGTCATCACATCATCTCACTGTGGTGTGCATCCTGAAGGTGCTTCCAGTTGTTTGGCTGACCAAGATTTCATTATTCACTACCTGCCATTATAGAGCTAAAAGATGTCTGACTTAGGTGGTATACAGCATTCAGTCACTCACTCTCAGTTTTCAAACCTATTTTTGTGAAAAGAATATTTCTGATTAGTTTTTCCAGGAAGAAACATCAAAGGGTTCTGTCAAACAAAGCACTTTTGTCAATAATACTTGGACTGTAAACAATGTATGCTTCTTATTAATCAACTTTCAGGAAATAGTTCTTCCGATGCAAGATTGGCAAAAAAAAATATTAGATCAATGTTTATGTCCAGCGTGAATTGACTCCACGTTTGTTCCTGTCTCATGTTTCAGGGCGGACTACAATTTGTAGTTGTGAGTTTTGTGTACCGTGTAACCCCTGCTTCTCTCTCCTCTGTGTCATCAGCTCTCTGCCATTTCTCTCATTCATCTTCTCCAACTCAGGACATCCTCGTACATTTGGAGGTTTTCCCCATCCTCCATTGTCCAGTGTGTTATGTCTCCATTCTATCATGATAAATACCCTGGTTCCATTTGACACCTTAGATTTGTTTGGATAGCTGTCCTTATAAACTACACCGTTCTTTCATGATCGATGTAACCAGTTTTTGACTCGACCCATGAAGATCTGGATTAGATTTGGTCTACTGCAACCCATGTTTGTCATAAGAGGCGACTAGCAACATCGTGTGGTCAGACTCGTTGACTTGGTTGATGCTCGTCATCTTATCCCAGTTGCATAGATCGATGCTTGTAATGTCAATCACTGGATTTTCTGGTTCAGACTTGATTATTTACAGACCTTCTTCATAAAGCTGGAATATTGCTGAGGGCGGCGTTAAACAACAAACAAACAAAAATAAAAAAGTATTTGACTCACCTCGACTCATCATCACCAATTCGCTAAGAAAATAACTTAGTCCTCAGAAATAATAACTTTGGTTGGTTAATTACATTTTCGTATTTATCAAATGCCTACAGTGTCATGAGTTAAAAGCATGTGGTCAGGAAATGGATCTATGAATTATTTATCTTTCCACTAGTTTGGTCAGATATGGGCAGAGAAAAAGACAAGTTATTTTATTTTTGCCTAGACACATGTTCTTCATGAGTGATTAAAACATACCTTAAACCATTAAAGTGAATTAAAGTGAAGAATATGTCAGTTTGTTGGTGTTCTCTGTATTTAGGACTATCCATCTCAATCTAACTGACCTTTGTAGGACCTATTAATTGCATCCTCTTCCCCCTGTCACAGCTGCACATGTGCATACGTCCTGCTGCATACAGGTTCACCTCATCCAGGAGTATGTCGTCTTCATGGTCAAGATTGTTCGCCATTCCCTGTACATTTTCATGGGCTCTGTGTGATTCTGAATGTAATTCCATGGATGCTGTGTAGTTCCATGGATTCTGCATCGTTTCCGTGGAATATGTGTGACTCCATTGAATCTGTGTAATTCCATGGATACTCAGTAGTTCCATGATTTCTGCATAGTTTCTGTGGAATATGTGTGACTCCATTGAATCTGTGTCATTACATGGATGCTCTGTAGTTACATGTATTGTGCATAGTTTCCGTGGAATATGTGTGACTCCATTGAATCTGTGTAATTCCATGGATACTCAGTAGTTCCATGATTTCTGCATAGTTTCTGTGGAATATGTGTGACTCCATTGAATCTGTGTCATTACATGGATGCTCTGTAGTTACATGTATTGTGCATAGTTTCCGTGGAATATGTGTGACTCCATTGAATCTGTGTAATTCCATGGATACTCAGTAGTTCCATGATTTCTGCATAGTTTCTGTGAAATATGTGTGACTCCATTGAATCTGTGTCATTACATGGATGCTCTGTAGTTACATGTATTGTGCATAGTTTCCATGGAATATGTGTGACTCCATTGAATCTGTGTAATTCCATGGATGCTAAGTAGTTCCATTAATTCTGCATAGTTTCCATGGAATATGTGTGACTCCATTGAATCTCTGTAATTCCATGGATGCTTAGTAGTTCCATTAATTCTGCATAGTTTCCATGGAATATGTGTGACTCCATTGAATCTCTGTAATTCCATGGATGCTTAATGGTTCCATTAATTCTGCATAGTTTCCATGGAATATGTATGACTCCATTGAATCTGTGTAATTCCATGGATACTGAGTAGTTCCATGAATTCTGCATGGTTTCCGTTGAATATTTGTGACTCCATTGATTCTGTTATTCCATGGATGCTGAATCTGTGTAATTTCATGGATGCTGTGTAATTTTGTAGAATAAGTTTTGTTCCATGTATTTCTTGTAACTAGAAAATGTTTTGTGAGATTCCATAGATTCTGAGGAATTTGAATTTTTTGAATGCCCCAGAGTGTCCATTCAAGGTGTTCCACAAGCTGTTTTATTCAGTTAAATGAGTAGGATTTAATTTCCTACATGATGCCCCTTAGTACTGACTTTATATTTCGTTTTGTTTCTCCTTGACCTCAAAACAAACATGCAGAATTATTACCTCTGAAAGTTCCTGTTGTGTGGGTGTTATATCTCTGTTGAAATTGGTCTTTTTTCATTCTTTGAGATCATTATTTTATACTTCATTTGGGTACATGGGATTTTGTGTTTCCGGTGTATTTCTTGGAGGGTAACTTTTTGTATGATATTTTTCTTATTATATTATTATGCCCAGAAAGAGGCAACACACTTTCATTATGATCTGCTGTCAATAGATCAGCTGTGTAACATACACTTAGTTCATGTATATTGAATTTGTCAAAATTCTCCTGTTGTATGTTCTATTGTGTAATTATTATTATCATTCTGATAAACATTATGATTGAAACTATACACTGAACGCTGATGTGCAATGACTCGTGGCCCTCGATATGATCCATGATGGACACAGACCTGTATCACAATACATGTCTACACTAAATATGTACAGTTTGTATTTATTACTTACTGACAAAAGAATAGCTTGGCTTATCGTGGCCATTGTATCAATAATCGTGTCTTATTGTGGCCATTGTATCAATAATCATGGCTTATTGTTTGCCATTGTATCAATAATCATGACTTATTTTGGCAATTGTATCAATAATCATGGCTTATTGTGGCCAGTGTATCAATAATCATGGCTTATTGTGGCCAGTGTAACAGAATCATGGCTTATTGTGGCCTGTGTATCAATAATCATGGCTTATTGTGGCCAGTGTATCAATAATCATGGCTTATTGTGACCAGTGTATCAATAATCATGGCTTATTGTGGCCTGTTTATCAATAATCATGGCTTATTGTGGCCATTGTATCAATAATTATGGCTTATCATGGCCATTGTATCAATAATAATGGCTTATCATGGCCATTGTTTCAATAATCATGGCTTATCGTGACCATTGTATAAATAATCATGACTTATTGTGGCCATTGTATAAATAATCATGGCTTATCATGGCCATTGTATAAATATTCATAACTTATTGTGGCCATTGTATCAATAATCATGGCTTATTGTGGCCATTGTATCAATTATCATGGCTTATTGTGGCCATTGTATCAATAATCATGGCTTATCGTGGCCATTGTATCAATAATTATGGCTTATTGTGGCCATTGTATCAATAATCATGGCTTATTGTGGCCATTGTATCAATAATCGTGTCTTATTGTGGCCATTGTATCAATAATCATGGCTTATTGTTTGCCATTGTATCAATAATCATGACTTATTTTGGCAATTGTATCAATAATCATGGCTTATTGTGGCCAGTGTATCAATAATCATGGCTTATTGTGGCCAGTGTAACAATAATCATGGCTTATTGTGGCCAGTGTATCAATAATCATGGCTTATTGTGGCCAGTGTATCAATAATCATGGCTTATTGTGACCAGTGTATCAATAATCATGGCTTATTGTGGCCTGTTTATCAATAATCATGGCTTATTGTGGCCATTGTATCAATAATTATGGCTTATCATGGCCATTGTATCAATAATAATGGCTTATCATGGCCATTGTTTCAATAATCATGGCTTATCGTGACCATTGTATAAATAATCATGACTTATTGTGGCCATTGTATAAATAATCATGGCTTATCATGGCCATTGTATAAATATTCATAACTTATTGTGGCCATTGTATCAATAATCATGGCTTATTGTGGCCATTGTATCAATTATCATGGCTTATTGTGGCCATTGTATCAATAATCATGGCTTATCGTGGCCATTGTATCAATAATTATGGCTTATTGTGGCCATTGTATCAATAATCATGGCTTATTGTGGCCATTGTATCAATAATTATGGCTTATTGTGGCAATTGTATCAATAATCATGACTTATTTTGGCCATTGTATCAATAATCATGACTTATTTGGCCATTGTATAAATAATCATGGCTTATCGTGGCCATTGTATCAATAATCATGGCTTATTGTGGCCATTGTATCAATAATCATGGCTTATTGTGGCATTTGTATCAATAATCATGACTTATTTTGGCAGTTGTATCAATAATCATGACTTATTGTGGCCATTGTATCAATAATCATGGCTTATCATGGCCATTGTATCAATAATCATGGCTTATTGTGGCCTGTGTATCAATAATCATGGCTTATTGTGGCCAGTGGTGACCAGTGTATCAATAATCATGGCTTATTGTGACCAGTGTATCAATAATCGTGGCTTATTGTGACCAGTGTATCAATAATCATGGCTTATTGTGGCTAGTTTTTTTTAGAAAAGTATGTTGTTGTGTCCAGTATATATCAAGAAAAATATCTTATTTTGACCTGTGTGTCAAGTAAATTGTCTTAACTTTACCAGTGTATCGAGAATCGTATTGTATCATGGCCTTCCATGGAGTTACACACCTTTTGAAGATGGGGAAAATTACCGAATTTAATTATAACAATTAGTGTGAAAGATGCGACATGAGCAGAGTACTTGAAGTAATTTTACATCGATATCTTCCACTACCACTGTACAAAACATGTACCCATATTTTGTTAAACATTCATCAGATAGAATTTTTTTTATCAAAATGAGAATAATAATACACAGATTAAGTTCTTTTTGCAGACATTTTTGTATTGTTTTTGTTTCGTATTTAATTCTGTTTCTTTGAGTTATGAGTATATATTGTTTCTTAAGACTTGTCCCATACCATCTGCATTACCAAACAAGACTCATCTTCATATCGGTGAGACAAAGATTTGTTTAATTGTACATTTCAAATGAAATTGATTTGATAATCTACTTTTGAATGTGTGTTTTTATCTATTGTTCAATTGCAGAAAGATGTCAAAGACAAGGAGAAGTTCGAGAGAAGAATTATAGAGGTAGATATGTGTCTATGTATGATCGTTTGATTATTTTCACTCTGGAACATATTATTAACGTAGAGGCAAGCTGTTTATTTTGAAAATAAGAATTGGTTAACATTCTTTAGGCATTGTAATAAGGCTACTTACGTGAAGGTGTTCCAAACATCAGTAAGGTCAGAGCCATGAATTGCTGTGACAATGCTTGTCGTAAGAGGCAGTTGCGTAGAGTGATGCTCATGATATCAATCACTGGATTGTCTGGTCGAGACTCGATTATTAACAGACCGCCATCATATAGCTTGAATATTGCGGAGTGCGGCTTTAAACAACAAACAAACAAACAAACAAACAAACAAACAAACAAACAAACAAAGCAAGAATTGAGAAGCAGGCTAAGTCTGTGATTAATGTCAGATGTGCAATTGTGTGTAATGGAGAAATCACTTGAAGCTGTTGATTCTGGATGAAGGAGCAATGAGTTGATTCTACTTCAGGAGTCAACAGATTCCAGTGATTTCTCCGATTTGTTAGGGTGTTAGCATGTTAGGGTTGATACCGTGTTCGACGTAATAAGCGCCCCGCTCTAATAAGCACCCACGGCAATATTGGCTAATAAATTGGCTAGTGAACAATCCCAATTGGCACCCCTTCCGATTGATCAATGTACACAACGCCTATTTGTTTCGCGTATAATACGCATTCGTGTGTTATATGCACCCTTAATTATGGGCAATTATATTCTGGAAAAATATATCTGTCGTACATAAACTTTTCAGGCAGTCGGCATAAACCACGAAATTTATTTTCAACTCTGTTGTTTTTTTTCACCAAAATAATATTCTAATAAGAGCCCTCTAGTTCCAATTTTGAGAGCGCCCTGGGTGCTTTTTACGTCGAATACGGTATATAATTTCTCTATAATTTTGCAAAATTAACTACAGTTGGATCAGTTTTATTTTTTGAAAATGCACATTTGGAATGGAATGTGAATTCCTGGCTCAAAATCAACTGCAACAACAATAAAGTGGTGTCGTCAAAATGGTTATAATACAGGGTAGCCATTAACTGCCAAGCTGATGTACAGTATTGCTTATTAGTTTATGTACTTGAATCCAACTTTCTGGGACTGACAATTGGCTGCGCCTTGTCCTCTTTTAAGTAGAGATGTTTGTTGATTCTGTTTGTGTGACAAGACATGTTTCGACATTGATTAACCTTAATGTGTCACTGAGAAATGGTGTCATCATGAACAAGATGCGTACTGTTTGAATGCCAATGATACCAACAAGTTCATTATTAAATAGTTACTGTGTTTATAAGTTGAGAAAATGTATGAATTAGTTTGGGACATTTTTAAATAATTGCCATTTGAATACCATAAATATGAGTATAAACCACTAAAATTGATTTGAAACTGACAAATTTGTTTTTTTAATTATACTAAATTGAAGCAACTTCTGTTTTTCCCTCTAGGAGCTCCTGAAGATGTACAACGGCTCCGACTTCTTCTACTACAGCGACACCTACGACCTCACCAACTCCTTACAGCGGCAGCATGCAGAGACCTACGACAAGACAGCGCCACTGTGGCGGAGAGTTGATGATCGATTCTTTTGGAACAAGCATATGCTTCAGGAGCTGATGGACACGGAGGTTTGTCTTGGGCCTGTTTAGAAGGTTTTCATCCACTGAAATGTGCAAAGACATGCATTTATAGATGTCTGCTGGTCTACATTAAGAGTATTTAACCTTACTAAGACAGGTATTTTTTAAATCAATGATATGAGGTAGCTGTCTCATTTATAAGCGAAAGAGGTCCAATTTTCTGTAGGTGCACTGGAGCTTAATGTTTATCTCCATGCTCAATTATAGAGAGGGGTTATAAGAGATATACAGTATAAAAAGGCTAATGGTGTAACAATAGGGTGATACAGAATTGCTATTAGTGTAACAATAGGGTGATACAGAATTGCTAATGTTGTAACAAAAGGGTGATACAGAATTGCTAATGGTGTAACAATAGGGTGATACAGAATTGCTAATGGTGTAAGAATAGGGTGATACAGAATTGCTAATGGTGTAAGAATAGGGTGATACAGAATTGCTAATGGTGTAAGAATAGGGTGATACAGAATTGCTAATGGTGTAAGAATAGGGTGATGCAGAATTGCTAATGGTGTAACGATAGGGTGATACAGAATTGCTAATGGTGTAAGAATAGGGTGATACAGAATTGCTAATGGTGTAAGAATAGGGTGATACAGAATTGCTAATGGTGTAAGAATAGGGTGATACAGAATTGCTAATGGTGTAAGAATAGGGTGATACAGAATTTCTAATGGTGTAACAATAGGGTGATACAGAATTGCTAATGGTGTAAGAATAGGGTGATACAGAATTGCTAATGGTGTAAGAATAGGGTGATACAGAATTTCTAATGGTGTAAGAATAGGGTGATACAGAATTGCTAATGATGTAAAAATAGGGTGATACAGAATTGCTAATGGTTTAAGAATAGGGTGATACAGAATTGCTAATGGTGTAAGAATAGTGTGATACAGAATTGCTAATGATGTAAGAATAGGGTGATACAGAATTGCTAATGGTGTAAGAATAGGGTGATACAGAGTTGCTAATGGGGATAGCGAGACACAAATGTCGTAAACATAGTATGACATGAACACGAATATATTGTTCTATTTATTACCAAAAAAGGTGTCTACATACAGAGACAAATTTTAGTGTTTACCTATAAGGACAGCAAATCACAACTGCAGCGGAACCACAATTTGTCGAACAACGTCAACAATCTTCAGCTGTGACGTCTTAAAAACAAATGATTCAGGGTTGTGATTCACCTTCGAAAGAAAGAATATCAGCTAATGAAATAAAACTTCAGTATCGGGATATGATTCGTATTGCACCCATCATAATAAGATTAGATTTAAATTCGTCTGGAGAATTCATCTTGTTTTGAAGTCAAGGAGGGGGATAAGTTGATTTTATGAATGTTTCACTCAATATTGGCTGTAGCTGTTAATGTTACTAGAGACGTACGGTGAACTGGGGAATAACATTGTTTTCAAAATTATTGCAATTATATAGCAATGAGCAAGCATTTTTGTGTGTGTGTGTGTGTGTGTGTCTAGTGTGCTTGTTATGGTATGGACTTGTGCTAACATGGAAACTAAACTCAGATATTACATACTGACTCCGAGCCAACCAGTCCTTGTTTTAGGCCCTTGTTCATAACCAAATCATATTAGATTATCACTTATCACTTTGAGACGCATTCAACAATTTAAAAGATTAAATGTCTGGAGGAGTCTGTGGCTGAATCTTTTGTCTCTTCCCATCTAAACTACTCATAGGTGTTGTGGACAAGAATACAGGTTTGAATAGTGTTTGAGTGTATAGATCGGGTGGTCCGGCTCGCTGACTTGGTTGATGCATGTCATTTTGTGTAGATTGATGCTCCTGATGTCATTCACTGGATTGTCTGGTCCAGGCTCGATTATTTACAGACCGTCATCATATAGCTGGAATATTGCGGAGTGCAGCAATAACAAAGAAAGAAACTTATCAAATATGATGTTGGTGTTGGTTTCAGCAGATTCTGAATCTTTCTGTACATCCACAAGCTTCAAATGATGTGTTGATTTGGGTTTTGTTTGTCAAACAAAGGTTTAGTTTGAAATTTTGTTTTAGTTTAGATAGTTTAGTGGGTTGACACATACCAATAACTCTGAAACAAAAGATTTTTCAAAAGCGTAAGTTAACAGTATTCCAGTTATCTCACAGAGTGTCAGCTTAATGTGGGAGGAAAGCCTGAAGTGATGCAGGTCTTAGATGTTTACTACTTTGGTGAAACCCACAAACACGGGTATGGTGCTGACAAACCTAGAAACATAATCAGGGCCAACCGGGAACTGGATTTCAGGCGTGCCCAAGGGTTGCCATCCTGCAGAGCGACTTGCGGTGCCTTTATTGACTGTGCCACCTGTACCACCTTTTTCAAAAAGACATCACATTGATTTAGTTTGTTTTCTCCAATAGAAAGTTAAAACCCAGATCAACACACTGGTTGGTGCTTGTGGGTGAATGCAACAATGTTGGAAGCTGTTGAAACTTGTGTCAAACCATTAACAAACAAATTTGATGTTTTAACCAATTTAAACCTTTTTAGTGTCATTCATTAGTGGTATGTAAATTTGGAAGTTGATTTGTTTGTTATATCTTATTTTAGACCGCCTGCATTATATTTTGGGCTAAACATTTTTAAAAGAAACATGTTCGAATTAAAAGGACTAGGCCCATGTTGGATTACGACTCCTTGTTCTCCTTAGGAGGCTCAGGCCGATCCATGGATCCTACCCATCATCCAGGGATTCGTGCAGATGGAGCGGTGCAAGATGGACTTTGACGAGAACAAGAAGAAGATGTCCTCAGACTCCGTCACTGACTACGGCAACACCAAGCACATTGAGCCACTCGGCTACGACATCTACATCGTCTCCCGCCGCAGCAGGCACAGAGCAGGTACCTCTGACCAAGCAGTCTTGAAATACTTTGTAAAGTAGCTTTCTATCTCTGCCACAAGAACATCCAGAGTGATTCTTTGTCCAGCTAAGTTATGTCTTTTCTTTGTTTGAGTGGCATTTAGGCTTCTTCCTGAGGCAAGGGAGTTAACTGACTATAAAAGTTTCCGCCCTTGCCAAAATAGGCTGGAATTTCTTGGTTCCATCGGAGCGCCACCTGTGGCTATTGCGAGTTATGTCCCTAATATGTCCTTCCTATTCACCAATCAGATTCCACCTCTGATATCGCTTGCATTTGCTTCAAACAAAATGGCTTTGCCCAGTCATGATGAACTGATCGATAATCAAGATCTATACTGTAATAAAACAGGTCTCTTTTTTTGCGTCAAATCATGTGTGCATGATTACAAACATGAAAAGCTTTTAAAACTATCTTTTGACGCCCAATTTCATGCAATCATCCAAAAACTGCACGGCAGTTTTTGAACCCGGATGTTGATTTCATTACGTGATTTTGATTGGACTATGCAGAGACCCATATTAGTCCAGCCAAAATATAACTCCATAATTCCAGCCTCGTTCGACAAGGGTGGAAACAGGTCTTTTATAGTTAGTTAAATTCCTTGTCTCGGGAAGATGCATTTAGGAATTGAGGCAGGGTTTATGACTTTATCCTTTCAATGTGACATTTTGGTAGAGATGCCAGTGCCTTCATGAAGCATGGTTGTGTTTGGTACAATTGATGGTACAGTGTTCCCTCCCTCTGGTTAGCGCGGTGAAGCATGGCTCCCAAGATTTACTGACAGTTTTAATAATCTCAAGTCTACCAATGACACGATGTTTTCCCCATCTCAAAAAACATTATCAGCTGATCACCGCGATTACGTAACACCGGAAATACCAGTCAACAAATCCGAACTGAAGTTCACAATTTAATCCCATTATTATACTATCTGGTTATAAAAAGGTGTTCATTGTTTATATGGACTTATGTTTGTAATATATTTTATTCATTTTTGTCAAAGTTTCATTCAATAATGTTTACATTAATTTTGGTGAAATTGTGTGTGAAGTGATTGGTAGATCGCAAAACTCACCGTTATTTACAGCAACCATGGTCAGATTACTGCTATTGACGCCTTGAAAGAAACTTTAGTTGCAAGAGATTTGATACATTTATCATAAATGCCATACTTTGACTTGTTAAAAGTCGTATTTGAGGCTGTTTGAATAAATGTCAACATAACGTTTTCGCAATTTAATATGTAAAAATGTGTGGCAATAGCAACCACCTGAACTAAAGTGCTATGCTTATGATTCTTATAATTTTTAATATATATAGTGAAAGCTGCAACTAAAATAACACGACTTTGGACTATATTTTTCCTGATAAAATAATAATTTCAGATACAATTTCTTCCGACCATTGCATTAAAATTCTTTGAAGTTGTATCATTGGGTGCTTTATAACTGAATCATCGGTAGATAAATTGTGAGTAAACATGTGCACAGCTGATTGCTAATTCACACGGTAATCTTAATCTCTGCATATAAAACAATGCCTTGGAGAGCAGGAAATACAATTTAAATGGTAAATCATCATGTCTAGTTATGTTTTATTTCAAATTTCATATTTTTATTGACCAAGTTTGTTATACCTGTTCCTTCACCTGAATTTGCTGAAGGGATGTGGTGTGTGTTTTTTAAAGCGCATTACACTCAATAAATTTTTTTTTACACTATGAATCATAAACAACTACTATTCTAATCTTTTTAAACTCTGAAATGTGCAACATAGATCGTGTGAGGTAGGCAGAGCATGTATACTGTTGTGTTGGTCATCTACCCCCTACGACTCCACCTTCGTTATGGGTAGCGTTGTAGCGAGGGATCACTGTACCTTTATCAAGCAAGTGTCTGTTGAAGCCAGAAACCAGAAAATGAGAAAGGGTTACCTTCTGTTCTATGGTGTATGTATTATACCTTGCCTCTCTGTATTTCCAGGCACACGGTCCAAGAAAAGAGGAATAGACAAGACAGGTGCCTGTGCCAATTATGTTGAAACGGAACAAGTGAGTTCACATAGTTACTGAGGTTATAAATTGTTGATGTGACATCTTCAGTTTCTGTCTATGTAATAGGTTCTTCTTTTTAAAAACAATAAAAGAAAAAAAGAAAAAATTGTACATGATGACGAGGACATCAAGTGTAGTCAGCTGAGATCAGTTAGAGTGTGTTCACTTGTTCAAGTGGAATGGTGGCACATGGTAGTAGATCCATACACCATCTATGACCCGTCTCCCTGTGTATTGCAGATCATTGAGAACACCTGGTGTCATATGTCAGGTGTGGAGGTGGCACATGGTAGTAGATCCATACACCATCTATGACCCGCCTCCCTGTGTATTGCAGATCATGAAGGACACCTGGTGTCATATGTCAGGTCAGGTGATGGTAGTAGATCCATACACCATCTATGACCCGTCTCCCTGTGTATTGCAGATCATTGAGAACACCTGGTGTCATATGTCAGGTGTGGAGGTGGCACATGGTAGTAGATCCATACACCATCTATGACCCGTCTCCCTGTGTATTGCAGATCATGGAGGACACCTGGTGTCATATGTCAGGTGTGGTGGTGGCACATGGTAGTAGATCCATACACCATCTATGACCTGTCTCCCTGTGTATTGCAGATCATTGAGAACACCTGGTGTCATATGTCAGGTGTGGTGATAGTAGTAGATCCATACACCATCTAAGACCCGTCTCCCTGTGTATTGCAGATCTTGGAGGACACCTGGTGTCATATGTCAGGTGTGGAGGTGGCACATGGTAGTAGATCCATACACCATCTATGACCTGTCTCCCTGTGTATTGCAGATCATGGAGAACACCTGGTGTCATATGCCAGGTGTGGAGGTGGCACATGGTAGTAGATCCATACACCATCTATGACCTGTCTCCCTGTGTATTGCAGATCATTGAGAACACCTGGTGTCATATGTCAGGTGTGGAGGTGGCACATGGTAGTAGATCCATACACCATCTATGACCCGTCTCCCTGTGTATTGCAGATCATGGAGAACACCTGGTGTCATATGTCAGGTGTGGAGGTGGCACATGGTAGTAGATCCATACACCATCTATGACCCGCCTCCTGTGTATTGCAGATCATTGAGAACACCTGGTGTCATATGTCAGGTGTTATGATGGCACATGGTAGTAGATCCATACACCATCTATGACCCGTCTCCCTGTGTATTGCAGATCATGGAGAACACCTGGTGTCATATGCCAGGTGTGGAGGTGGCACATGGTAGTAGATCCATACACCATCTATGACCCGCCTCCTGTGTATTGCAGATCATTGAGAACACCTGGTGTCATATGTCAGGTGTGGAGGTGGCACATGGTAGTAGATCCATACACCATCTATGACCTGTCTCCCTGTGTATTGCAGATCATTGAGAACACCTGGTGTCATATGTCAGGTGTGGTGGTGGCACATGGTAGTAGATCCATACACCATCTATGACCCGTCTCCCTGTGTATTGCAGATCATTGAGAACACCTGGTGTCATATGTCAGGTGTGGAGGTGGCACATGGTAGTAGATCCATACACCATCTATGACCCGCCTCCCTGTGTATTGCAGATCATGAAGGACACCTGGTGTCATATGTCAGGTCAGGTGATGGTAGTAGATCCATACACCATCTATGACCCGTCTCCCTGTGTATTGCAGATCATTGAGAACACCTGGTGTCATATGTCAGGTGTGGAGGTGGCACATGGTAGTAGATCCATACACCATCTATGACCCGTCTCCCTGTGTATTGCAGATCATGGAGGACACCTGGTGTCATATGTCAGGTGTGGTGGTGGCACATGGTAGTAGATCCATACACCATCTATGACCTGTCTCCCTGTGTATTGCAGATCATTGAGAACACCTGGTGTCATATGTCAGGTGTGGTGATAGTAGTAGATCCATACACCATCTAAGACCCGTCTCCCTGTGTATTGCAGATCTTGGAGGACACCTGGTGTCATATGTCAGGTGTGGAGGTGGCACATGGTAGTAGATCCATACACCATCTATGACCCGTCTCCCTGTGTATTGCAGATCATGGAGAACACCTGGTGTCATATGCCAGGTGTGGAGGTGGCACATGGTAGTAGATCCATACACCATCTATGACCTGTCTCCCTGTGTATTGCAGATCATTGAGAACACCTGGTGTCATATGTCAGGTGTGGAGGTGGCACATGGTAGTAGATCCATACACCATCTATGACCCGTCTCCCTGTGTATTGCAGATCATGGAGAACACCTGGTGTCATATGTCAGGTGTGGAGGTGGCACATGGTAGTAGATCCATACACCATCTATGACCCGCCTCCTGTGTATTGCAGATCATTGAGAACACCTGGTGTCATATGTCAGGTGTTATGATGGCACATGGTAGTAGATCCATACACCATCTATGACCCGCCTCCCTGTGTATTGCAGATCATGGAGAACACCTGGTGTCATATGCCAGGTGTGGAGGTGGCACATGGTAGTAGATCCATACACCATCTATGACCCGCCTCCTGTGTATTGCAGATCATTGAGAACACCTGGTGTCATATGTCAGGTGTGGAGGTGGCACATGGTAGTAGATCCATACACCATCTATGACCTGTCTCCCTGTGTATTGCAGATCATTGAGAACACCTGGTGTCATATGTCAGGTGTGGTGGTGGCACATGGTAGTAGATCCATACACCATCTATGACCCGTCTCCTGTGTATTGCAGATCATAGAGTTCTCCCCCCACCTGGTGTCGTTTGTGCAAGTGCGTGGATCTATACCTGTGTACTGGTCCCAGTCCGGCTTCAAGTATCGCCCTCCTCCAAGACTTGACAAAGGTAGGTGCAGTTTACCTTCACTTGTCCACAGTGGTGACTTGCCGTCTTCCTTTATTTCAGCTGTACCTAGTTTTGAAGAAAGCAATAATGATACATTGAGACTTGCAGCAGTGTTCATCATGGCCTTTATGAAAGAGGCCCCATGGACCACCTGTCTCCAGTTGTGGACCATTTAGAAAATATTGTGGGTCATGTCCAATTGGTGTGATTTGTTGGCGTACAATACCTAGTAGCAACTTGTTTGATTTGTGATGCTTTGATTTTGCATGGGTTTTGAAGGGTACTGGTCTGATAATTTCCTGTGCCTTTCCCTGTAAACACATTGTTTTTATGGTAGGTAGTGCATACCGTGCATTGCATACCATCTGCTGCTTGGTTGATTGTTAGCCATGGGTAAGGTGCAAGCACATATTTTGTAACACATTGGCTTTCCATGCATTTCCTCTCAGTCCTGTTACCATTATGGCGCCATGGTTGTTCGTTGTGGTCTGTGTGTCGTCAGCGTCTTCATTAGGACAAGAATCATCATGCTTCTTTGCGAAAAACAATGAATTCTTGACTGACATCGGCATTAGACAGCCGATGTATCCGCCATAGCAACAAAAGTGTGAAACTACAACATACAATGTAATTGGCTCACTAAAAGAAATTGACCAATTACTATCATCTTTACAAAGAGCTTCGATTTTTCTCATTACATTGATTTTGTAGCCTTGGCACTGTCATTTGTAACAGTTTGAAAGTGATGTGCCGAGATCGAAGAACCTAGTCAAATCAACATCAGCTCAATTTGGGGAAGCAAGGTAGTGCTAATTTTGTAACAATGAAAGCCTATGAAGTTTTGCAGCAGTTGTCAAGTGAAAACAGACTCAAAATGCATTTGACCCATTTTGGATTTATGTTTAATATCACGAGTGCGCCAACACGACCCATCTGTACTTTTACAATGCACCATATTTAATTTTAGTTTGCCAATGGCACAAAGCAAAGCCTAGAGGGAACACTGCAGCAGTAGTATGTTGTGACCAGCCAAAAGGGCTGTTTGGTTTTTTGGTGCAGGCCCAATTTGCTGAACAAATTTATGAATTTTTTTTTATACATTCAGATTTTCATTTTTCACTGATGTTCCTTCATTTATACTGACACACAACAGAACAGCAACATACAAATAATAATGATTTATTTATTTTGGGCTGGGGGATTCCCATTACTTATGTAATACAGCAAACCACTTGACCCCATCCTGAGGGGAAACGCCCTGCAGTGTCAAGTGCTGAGATGACCAGGCCTAGTGGTGAAAATACTAACATTTTGGGGCCATGAATATCCGCAACTACCGGCGGATACTCTGCCACAGATTATAGCTGGGAAGGGAAACGCCTTCAACAATAGATTACAATGACATAGCTGCAAAGGGAAACGCCTTCAACAGTGATTACAGATTACATAGCTGCGAAGGGAAACGCCTTCAACAGTGGATTACAGATGTAGCTGAGAAGGGAAACGCCTTCAACAGTAGATTACAGATGTAGCTGAGAAAGGAAACGCCTTCAACAGTGGATTACAGATAAAATAGCTGCGAAGGGAAACGCTTACAACAGTGGATTACAGATAAAGCTGTGAAGGGAAACGCCTGCCACAGTGAATTACAGATAAGGCTGTGAAGGGAAACGCCTTCAACCGTGGATTACAGATAAAGCTGTGAAGGGAAACGCCTTCAACCGTGGATTAACGATAACATAGCTGCGAAGGGAAACGCCTTCGACAGTGGATTATAGATTATGGCTGTGAAGGGAAACGCCTTCAACAGTAGATTACAGATTATAGCTGCAAAGGGAAAACGCCTTCAACAGTGGATTACAGATAAAACTGGAGGGAAACGCCTCGACAGTAGATTACCTATAACAGCTGCGAAGGGAAAATGCATTACATGGTGATTTGAAAATACATAACTATGGAGGGAAACTCCTTGACAGTGTATTATAGTACCCAAGCGCTGGGCAAAAGAGGTTAGCATGACAAATATTAAATAAGAATAAGAAGTTACATGGGTGAATGTTAATGGATATAAGCACATGGACAGAGTATTTAAGTAATTGATGAGATATATTATTAACTCTGATAATATATTAACACAAGAATGGGAATCCCCAGTATAAAGCCTTATACATGCATGTTTAATAGTTGTTATACTAAGTAGACAAGATCTGATTACCATAGAACTGGTGGAGCAGGGGATGGAGGTGGGTGTCAACAGAAACAATGGCGATTGTGCACGAAAACCACTAAGGAACCTGCGCATTACAATGCGCAGATGAGGTGTGCAGTGCGAGTTACTGCCCTTACATTCTAAAAATAACTACTATAGTCTAATTACGTGACTCTGTAACTGTAAAAAACATACTTAACAATAAATAAAGACTAGATGCAGTGTATAAAAGACACATGCCATCCTAAGGTACGTACTCATACATGTCATAGCAAATGTTGTGTGTCACCATAAACTCAACTCAAATTCCTGAGTACTAATTTATACTGACACACAACAGAACAGCAACATACAAATAATAATGATTTATTTATTTTGGGCTGGGGGATTCCCATTACTTATGTAATACAGCAAACCACTTGACCCCATCCTGAGGGGAAACGCCCTGCAGTGTCAAGTGCTGAGATGACCAGGCCTAGTGGTGAAAATACTAACATTTTGGGGCCATGAATATCCGCAACTACCGGCGGATACTCTGCCAAATGAACATGAAAGAATTAAGAAATATGCCTATGATTAATTTTTAAATGAGAATCCCCCAAAAACTAACTACACAGAAAGAAACTGGTCATAGTCGTACAAGGATGTAACAAATGTATGCCCTATAACCAAGGTGGTAACTATTTCTAACCTGTATCCAAGAGAACAAACAACAAACATAAGAATATGTAGTGAACTAACATGTGTATTGGAGTCAAGAAATATGCTAAATAATCATGATAATACATTACACTTGAAGAAAAGGTTTACAGATGAATTTAACATGAATATATACACTGGGCGTTGTGGAGAAGGGTATTATGGCCAATGTTAACAAAGATAAGCCATATCTTTTTGAGCCCGCCACAAAACATCTTGAGGTGTACGTATATATCTGGTGTAACAAGAAGATGACCACCGACCAAGGACTTGTATGAGGTGATCTGGTACTTTAGCACTGGCTGCTGATGTAGCGGCTCCTATTCGAAAGGAATGACCATTGTAGGCATTGTCATCATAACCACACAGTCTTAATAGTTTCTTCAGTTGCACGATGAAATATGTCCTGCATAATACCTTGCCATCTACCGTAACAAATAAAGGATCAGCACTATGCACGGCATAGCGATGGCGTTGAACGAGGTAGGCTTGCATACTAGCTACAGGGCATACACAATTGCCCGTGGCTGTATAGGTGATGGTTACTCCTTTCCGGAATGGATCTGTCTTTGACGCTGCCAACAGCAAGGTGAATGAAGCCGAGATCTTGGAGAATTGCACAGATCTAAGGGTAAGATTGTAAACTGGATTAAAGTTGTCAGTGTCACAAGCAAATTCTCCGCAACGGAGAAAGCCGAAGAACGCCAGACAACACACTGCTTTCAATAGTCCAAAGGTGTAGGGATCAAAAACACCATGATTTAGAGCCATAACAATCTTAGCTAAGATGGGAGTTGTTATTGGCAAGCGGGGTGATGTGGACAGCCCTTGATGTCTTTTTACCCCCTGCACAATAGTTTGCAACCGAATTAAAGAACCCGATGTCCAAGGGTTAGGTAAACCTACTTGTAAATACCTAAACCGAATGCCACACAGGTATGATTTAATGGTAGAATATCGTAGCAACATTCTACGGTAACAGTGAGCCACAAATCTAATGAGAATGTCTTCCGAGATAGGAGGTAAAGTAGCAGTCCACACGAACCCCTGCATAGTCATGAAGGTGAGAAATGCGTTAACTCCTGATTGGTAGACCTGATATGTTCTGGTAGACACAGCTGATGACCACAAAAGTTCGATGTCTGCCTCGATATTTCCTCCATGGGTTACGGGTACATCAGGTCTGTCAGCTGAGGACATGGGGTTGGGTGACACTCTGCATCTGGTGCTAGGTGACGAAATCTGGCTATCTGCAATCGTGAGAGAGCATCACTTATAGCATTATCCACACCAGGAACATGTTTAGCACAAAACACATAATTCCATTGAATAGCATGTAAGGTTAATTGTCTCATAAAACGCATGATAAGAGGGATAGGGGATCTGCCTTTGTTGATGATAGCAACAGTGGCCTGGTTGTCACAGTAGAAACACACACACTTATTTGACCACAAGGGTCCCCATAAATGGGCAGCTGTCACAATGGGAAATAACTCCAAGAGTGCTATTGACAAGTTTACTCCTGCCAAACTAAACAGTTCTGTGGACCAGGTGGATGAAAACCATCTGCCTTGGAAGAAACCCCCATATCCAAGAGATGCTGCCGCGTCTGTGTACAACTGAAAATCAGGTGAGTTGATAGTGTCTGTAATAAACATGGAGACACCATTCCAATTTTGAAGAAAGTAGCGCCACATTTGGAAATCCAGCAGGCAGTCAGCTGAGAGATGCACAATGTCCCGTAGGTTGGAAACCGAGTGAGCTACCCCTAATAGGTATCCAATAAAACTTCTGCCTGGTCTAATGATGCGCATGGCAAAGTTCATGTGTCCCAGAATCACTAAGAGATCCCTCTTAGTCACATGGGTTTTCTTGATTATATGGTCGATCAAGGTGACAATTCTCTGCACTTTCTCCGTAGGCAGGCGGGCCTCCATCCGAGAAGAATCCAGGGTGATGCCAAGATATTCTAGGCATTCCGAAGGACCAGCTGTCTTAGCTTTAGATAAGGGAATGTCCAAGTCATGAAACATAGTGAGCATATTGTTCATAATAGTCTGTCCAAGAGAATGGTCTTTGGCGAAACATATGA